TAACAAGTTGGTTGTGGAGACCCTAAGGTAACCATGAGCTTAACTAGCTGACCATCTAGAGGGGTAAAGCTGATGACCTTATAAGGACAGACAGATCGAGGCGCAGAGACCCTAGTCTTCCTCAGAGCCCAGAACTAGAGTCGGCCAAGGGTAGCATTCTTTGTCTTTAAAAAAACCTACGTTCTTCTTTAATATAATGGAATGCCAGGGTGTTTAATCACAAGCATTTGTTGAACTGTATCTGGAGTGGCATCAGAAAGGTTAACAATTTTTTTTTTTTTTTAAAGAAAGAGATCTAGTAAAATTAGCGTTTTTATTGCTAAGCCCATGGAACAGAGATAACTTGTTCATAAGTAGATCTCTAACCAGTTCATCCTTGCTAAAAATAGAAAGGCAGGGTTTCAGACCCCTTTTCAGTGACAATGCATTGGAACGAGACGTTTTAGGTTTGTGTTTGCAGTCAGGCAGTTCAGCATTCCCAGTGATTGCCTGTCACTCTCAGACATTTACAAGAGGCAGCCACGGGTGTAGGAAGCTGTAATTGATGGGGACAGCTAGCAATGCATGCTTTACGGTCTACAGTCCAGGCCTGCCAGCGGGTCCTTTAGGCTTTCGAACACACTGCTCCTCAGGTCTGCCTTGCCATCAGTCAATAGCCTACTCATTCCTGGAGGCCAAGGGAGAAGATGCCTCCACTTTCCAGTTTCCCCAACTGGCCCTGGCTCTTCCTCCTCTGCTCCCCAAGCCTGGGCATCATCTGTTCTTTCATGACAGAAGCTCTGTCTTGTACTCCAGGTATGGGCCTGTTTCTGGCACTTGATGAACTTCTTTTAAAAAAAATAATATATTTTTAATTCATTTCAGAGAGGAAGGGAGATGGAAGATAGAAACATCAATGATGAAAGAGAATAATTCGGCTGCCTCCTGCATGCCCCACACTGGGATTGAGCCTGCAACCCGGGCATGTGCCCATGAGTGGAACTGAACCTAGGACCCTTCAGTCTGCAGGCCAATGCTCTATCCATTGAGCCAAACAGACTAGGGCTTGATGAACTTCCTAAGGGCAGTGACTGGAGTATTTATCTTGGTTGTATCCCCTACAGCACCAGGAGCCTTGAATAGAGCAACCATGCAATACATTTCAACTGTTGACTATATGTCATGTCCTATCCAAATGTATCTGCAGTCTGTGGGCCTAGTTGTAACTTCCAGGCAATAAATAATCTATATGACAAGCATTTTCTCTCTCCCTGGTCATGCCAGTCACTCATGAAGAAAACAAACAAACAAACAAAACAACAACAACTAATATTGGGTAGTTTGTTTTATAACTAGAAACAAATAAGACTAATCTCTTTGCTTTGTTGTCATCAACTAACATTCACTCCTCAATTACAAAATGCAGAACTTCAAAACCATTAAACTAAACTGCCTACCAACTTGAAATCATACTTTAAGATCTATAATATATATAGATCTTAATGTATGATTTCAAGTTGGTAGGCAGTTTGTATATAACCCCGTTATATCCCCACTATATTCAAAGTCACTGAATCCACTATTAATTCTCCATGAAGGTGAGCTTCAACTAAGTTTATTATCAAGTTCACAGACTGAAAATATGATTTTTAGCTATAACAAAATCTCAGATCTTGGGGTTTTCAGGGGTTTTTATTTGTACTTCCTTAGATTTTGTTACTCTCCTTCTACATGGATAATCAACATTCATTTTATACATCTACTCATCTGGGTTTCTGAGAATGAGATGAACACTAATCTAAGACAATTAGCTATAAAAACATAATGTATATTTACAATTGTTTAATGGAGTTCCCTTTAAAATTCAAGAGAGAAGACATTAAGTTTCAGCTTATCACACAATAGGCTATTTGGGGCCATGATATACATAAGACAGGCCACCAGTCATGAGAACCATACACAAAATTGCTATTGAATAGCCAGCCCCTAAAAAATTATAGAGGACAATAGCATAGAGACTAAAAATCCTAGTCCTACTGTCACAAAATCCTAATGAGAGAAAAAACATACAAGTACACTGGAAAAACCAGAGAACAAAAATGTAATCAAATTCAAAAGCCATATAAACCACACTAAAACTTCTTGCAAAGCCCCACCTTTAATCCCCAAACTACTCTACTGAACAAGGTGGTACTTCTGTTAGCACCGCAGCCAACAGGCACTGACGCAGGAGCTAAGATTGAGTTTAAATATGAAACAGACCACAGATTACTGAACTAGCCACAAATGCCCATGGCAAACCTTTTTTCTTCTTAAACTCATCTTTGAGGATGTTTCCTGAGACCACTCCTGATACCAAGTACTCTAGCAGTCAGGAAAACGCATCATTAACCTGTTAACTGGGGAGTTCCCTTTTTAATTACGCAATGTACAACGGGCACATGCTCTTTCACTAGGACGTGTCAGTACGTCACACCCAGTGGACGTAATTTTATATTATTGTTTTTATTTATACTTAATTAAAATAAATGAAATATGTATTTTTTCATTTATTCATATATAAAGGACAAAGGAAAATACAAAATTACAAACAAATAGAAAAGAACACCAACAAAAAAAATGGAAACATCGAATTAAAAAATTATAAATTTTACAAACAATTACAAAGATTACAAAAAATATATACCGACCCTCAGGGCGCAACATATATTTCAAGGATGTATTCATACGTCCTACCCGTTCCCAATATTGTTTACGTTTGACGTATTTATAGGTCCCGCTCGGTTAACAGGTTAAAGAGGGATTTGATACAGAGAACTAGTCACAGAGTTGTTAAAATGCTAAACTGACAAAGAGAGAATACTAAGGTAACTCAATGATCAACAACTAAAGGAAGCAAATGATACTCCTAAGGCTGGGGGACAAAAGGGGAGGAGTGTTGCCAAAATGTAGGAGCGAAGGAGGATCCAGCATGCTGGCCTAAGCTCTGAGGAGGGGTGTGGCATGGCAGGTGCTCAGATCTTGAGCTGGAGCAGGACCTGGAGGGGACATGGACTCAAGAGAGCTAACAGGTGCCGGATGGCCTGGATGTGTGGCAGGTAACACGCTGAGCAGCTCCAATGCTCTGGTGTGTCCAGTGGGGTGCAGTGAAGCTGGAGCTGGGGGTTCTGTAGGAAGCTGGAAGATAGAGCCAGCTGTAGGGTGTTACCACAGGGGCTAATGGAAAGGAAAAATGGCAAGCAAATTTCTTCTTTTTCTCCTCCCCAGTCCTTGGTTTCTCCAATCAGCAGGTCTAAGGGGAAAAGCAGGAGGGCCTGGAAAATCCTTGAGCCCCCAACCCTGAGAGCAGACAGAGCCTAGAGGGTAGGCATTGAGGTGAGATAACAGGTAAACAAACCATCGGCACAACCCACGGCTAACTGTTAGATGATAAAAGGTAGAGACATCAGAAATTTTGTGCTCACTTTGGTGGCACATATACTAAAAATTTTTTTTCTTGAGGACATTTTATGTATTTGACTATTTTAAAATGTACAATTCAGTGGCATTAGTACATTCACACTGTTGTGAAACCATCACCATCATCCAACTCCAGAAGTTTTTAATCTTCCCGAACTAAATCTCTATGCCAATTAACCACTAATTCCTCACCACCTTTTAGCTATTATGAATAATGCTGTATGAACACAGGTGTATAAGTATGTTTGTGTTACTGCTTTCAATTTGCTGGGGGGATATACCCAAAAGCAGAAATGCTGGGTCATAATCTATCCTGTTAAATATCTTGAGAAACTACCAAATAATTTTTTCACAGTGAAGGACACTGTATTTGTCTTATCTTAAACACTCAAAAGATTAAGAAGTGGAGTATATGAAAAATATTATCAGATATTCAAATTATAATTACATACACACACAGTAATAATTACACAATAAATGTGACAACTCAACCGTCATTCATAAATACAAAAGTTTATTTGTACTTCATTAGTGTAGAAAGACCACAATGCTTTTCATATCACAACACTCAAGACACGCCAAGTTATTCAAATACATAATTACTTATTTATCTCGACTAACAAAACAGCGCAGTTTAATAAAAGATATACCAAAGATAGAGTTCACAAATTCATTACCAGACCAAAAAGGAAAAAAAAAGAAAAAAAAAAAAGAACACAGTCTAGGATTAACAGGAATAAGCTTTATCATAAGGGAAAGTTTCATCATTATAAAGGTATAGAATGTTTAAGCAAATACATGTATGTTCTTTGATATAGTAAAATGTATCTCTTTAAAATTCCTTTAAACAGGATTTGTTCAGGACAGCAGCGTTTTCTTTCTTTATCGAATCTTCATAGTTCTTAAAAGCATAAGGGATATCCACTCAGAAACTATGAGAGACTGCAGCCTCAGGACCAAGTCAAATCCTACCCTCTAACTAGTAATATTCTACCATTATATAACAATAAATAACCTTCAATGTCGGCTATGAATGAAGCTTCGCTTTGTGGTAGAAACACTCCCGATACTTTAAAAATTGCTACAGCTAGGGAAATGTCTTGTAAATAAAGAAAAAGCACTTAAGATAGCTTTTTTTTTTCTTCATCAAAAAGTCTCTGGTTTTTATAAATTTTCTTTAAAACAGTAAGCAAAGCACCACGTTCTTTCTTCTTATCAGAATATCTTCTGTCCTCTTAATATAATTAACAAGGACAATTATATTATTTATTTCAAGAAACATAACTTTCATTTCTCCCATTCTTCATATTAGAAGTACTACATGTCCCAGTGTATGCACACTAGACACTGGGATAATGAGTGAAATATAATAATTTGGAGGAATATATGTAATTGGTAACCAAAACTTACCCAGGATTGCATATTTGCATATTTACAAGTTAGTGTATAGCTCTGACTTGCATTACAAAGTGCGAAAGGAAATTTTCAGAATGATTGTAGTGCAGAATAGAACGTTTCCCCCTTTCTAGGAATCATTCCCACTTTGTCTCCAAGGTAGCAAATCAACAGCATCTGATGTGTGGTCTTGGTGGAGGCAATTCTGGTGGAATCTCAGGTTCTGGTTGTAAGGAGAGGATACTATTGGACAGCTCATTCCTTAAAATATCCAGGGGCATCTTCAGGATAAACAAAAGACAAAAACACATTTTAACTACCCAATGTATAGGTAAGTGCTCTGCAAGTCGTACAATTATATAAGAGCAAAGTATTTTTAAATAAAACTTTCTAATCATCAAAGTTTAACTAGACATTCAAATACTAAGCCAAAAAACAAAGCAGGTTCAGGATGCATCATGTCCCTTTACACCTGACGAGGAAGAGACCAGATGGACCTCATAACCATATCTTTTTCATGGCCCAGTATAATGGGAACTCAGTGCATTAATACATGAAAAAGCGGTTCTGCATTCTCAAGGGTACAGCATCACTGAAGAAAGAAATAACCTTTCTAATAAAACAGCCATTTTATTAGAAGCTTCTGAATTATGTTTGAACCGAGCAGATAACATGTAATAATAACACAGTTCTTACTAAAAAATCTCTGAATGTAAGCTTAAAGACGCCTGAAGAAATTGCTGCTGCTCAGGGAAGCTGCCTAGCAATTCTCCTGGTGCTCAGCACGAGAAAGGCTTTGCTGAAAGAATCAGCTCCTGCTAGAGCAGAGCACAGGACCAGGCTTCCCAGCTCAGATCCCTGCACATTCCGCTGCCTCCTCCATCTGTATCTAACTTAGTCCTTGTGGGAAAACAGGAACAGAAAAAAAGCAAATGCCAGATAAACATGGCACACTGTCAGCCAGCGCCAGTCACTCCACCAAACTGTATTTAAGGCTAAGCAAATACACTGGACATTAACTCCAAGGATACTGAAGACCACAGGATGGAAGGGCTGCTGCGATTGCAGGCTCGATGCCTCTGGCTGAGTTAACAACTTCACCTGCTCCTTAAGCCTGAGAGAAACTACTGCATTTCCATTTCGAAATAATAAATCCTCAACCAAAAAATAATAAAGGAAACAGTACATTTCCGATGAAAAACTTTTATGTAGTTTTTTTTTTTTTTTTTACCTTTTTCAGAATGTCATCAACAAGTTTCAGAAATATTTCATCCACGTTGAAGTTATCCTTGGCACTTGCTTCACAGAACCGCATCCCAGTTATCTGCTGTGCGAACTAAGGAAACAAGTTATTTTTCCTGTGTGGGGTGCGATGTAGTCTAATGTATGAATATGAGGCCAACGATGGGGAAATCATACCTTCTGGGCCTCAACTATATGGGAAGGGGAGGACTGAAGGTTTGTTAAGGCCCCTGTATGCTTAATTGTAAAGCTCTTAAGTGCAGCAAATTCTTACATTATAAGTAAATAACAAAACCTAGGGATACCATGACCTTCAATTTAAATTATGTGACCAAATTTCTAAAGTTGTAATTAATGTATCTGATATTGAAAATGTGATTATCTCAAATTCTCCAAGAAGATTAATATATATTAGAGTGAGAGATAATCATGAAAGCAATTTTATGCTTTTAAAAAATACTTCTTTGTATACAGTATCAGGTTAGATAATAATGCAGCATATACTAATGTGGTTTTTTTCCCTTTAATTTTAAAATGAATTTAAGGAAGATTGCTTAAAAAAAAAAAAAAAAAAAAAAAAGCAAACATATGAGAAGGATGTGATTGAGTGGCAACTGTATAACTATTTCATAATTTTTAAAAATTAGCAATTTGTTGAAAGGAAAACCATATCAATTGCTAACATACAAAGTGTGGGAACTGACTTCTCTCTCCTACCCCAGGGGTTTCTCTCACCTTTTCACCCTGTTGTCTGGTGATTTCTCTGTCCGTTTCACAGTCCAATTTATTGCCAACCAAGAGAAGTTCTGCATCTTCTGAAGCATACTGTAAAATTTTAAAAGAAGCTGCATTTCAAAAATGGGCATTATCATATGCTGACAGGAAATGTAAAACAATCCAATATTTTTCACTTATTTGTTCATTCACTCTACAAATCTTTAAGCATCTTCTCTGTCCCAGGGAGACCTGGTTACTGTGGCATGGAAGACAGCTCAAAGACAGCTCACAGTGTTTTAGAAAGAAACGTGGTCATAGGTACTATGGCCAGTAATTCCTTAGAATCTACCTCAAGGAAATGATTCAAAATAACGGCAAAGCTTTGTATTTAAAAATGATCATTAATAAAAAAATGTAAAAATCCAACAAAATAGTTAAAGAATGAAGTAAGTTAAGGTACATAAAAGAATGAAGCCATTGAAGACAAACACACAGCCCGACAAGTGTGGCTCAATGGTTGAGCATCAACCTATGACCTAGGAGGCCAGTTTGATTCCTGGTCAGGGCACCTGCCCAGGCTTTGGCCTGATCCCTGATAGGGGGCATACAGGAGGCAGCCAATCAATAATCCTCATCATTGGAGTTTCTATCTCTCTTTCCCTCTCCCTTCTCTCTGAAATCAGTAATATATATCAAAACAAACATGCTTTGGAAGAACAGTTAATGACATAGAAGGCTGTCATAACAGAATATTTAGTGAAATAAGCAGGATGTAACATGGAATGAAGTATAAATTCACTTTGGTTTTTCAGGATGGTAGAACTACAGATTTGGGCTCCGAGTTCAAACAGCCCAGGATACCAGAATAAAAATATAAAAATTCTGGTTTTATTAATTATAATAATAAAACTTTTGATTACTACAATATGGATTAAAGACCTTTATAATATAAAAGTATGATTCCTAAATATTTTCTTTTATAAGGATTAACACCCATGAGCAAAGAGTTCATAACTGGGGGGGGGGGGGGGTGGGTGGGGGAAAGCAACACTTACCTTATCAATCATCTTCATCCATTTTGGCAAATCATCAAATGTCTCCTTCTTAGTAATATCATATACTAATATGATCCCCTTGGCACTTCTGTAATAAGCTGAGGTAATGCTGTTGAATCTCTCTTGACCTGCTGTGTCCCTAAGAAATAGCAGCCAAAAAAAATCAGTTCCCAAACCTTAACCATAGTAAGTAACTCCATATTCCAATGCACACAGGGCGAGTGGTGGCCCCACCAGGCTGGCTCCTTCTAGTCATCAGGCCACTCCTCACGTCTGTGCATGTTCACTATTAGTGGGGATAGCTTTTCTGAGCTAGTTACATTCAAACAAAAACATAAAGAAATCCCAATTTCTTTCAAACCAATCTTTTGAAAATAGAAAAAAAAAAAAAAAGAGCATTTTTATGGCAAAAAGTTGTAATAAAAAGAGGGAGAAGGCAGATCCCACATAATTTAACTAAAGATGCTAAAATCCTATATATAACAAAAATTTTAATTAAAAAACAACAACACTTTCCAACGTGAAAGCTCATGCAAAAATAGCATCCTATATAATAAAAGGCTAATATACAAACAGACTGAACGGCAGAACAACTAACCAGTCACCATGATGTGCGCTGACCCTGTGCCCACCGCAGCCTGTGACCCATAGTTCCTTTCGAGGTGCATAAATTTGTGCACTGGGCCCCTATTTAAATATAAAAGTGATTTCTGATTTCTTAACTCATACTCAAGTGACTCACTTAAGCTAACATTAGCTTCGGAATGAATTTTTTGACATTCAAGAATAAAATTATGAAAGCATGAGGTAACTTAATACTACAAATTACATAAGTACACTTGACACACTTTTCTCCCCCACAAAGTCATAAACTTTGCTCTAGATTGATTCTAAATTTTTAATCGACTGCACTGTGAGGAAAATTGTTTTGGAAGGAGTAAGAGAAATAGAAAAAATGAACAAGGAGTTAGGTGGTGGGCTGATATTCAACTTTTATTTTGTAGTCATAAAGTATTATGGTCAAGTCAGCTTTTCTAGGTATTTCACCTCTAACAATTGGTGTATTCATAGGTATAAATGCTGTTATTCCCCCAATTTCCTCAAAGCCTGTCTGGGGTGCACGGTAGCTGTTCCTGGAAAGCTCTGCTCCAGCAGGCAGGCCCTGGGCATTCACTGTGGGTGCCAGGTACCTGGGCACCAGCCTAGCTTCTTTAGAGAACTCAGCCTTTCTGAAATGAGCTCAGTTTCTAACGTGCAAAATGGCAGAAAGTTAACACTCTCTATGGGAGGCAGTCATCAACTAGGAGAAAACGAGGGATAATAATTTAAACTATTTAAGTCTAAAACTCTCCTTTAACCAATCTCAATGGCTAATATCTGATCTTGTTGATAGGAATACCCACTAATGAGAAATGCCATAGAACCCTTTTAAACAGAGTAAGTGGTCAAAGGGAAAGAGGCGAGTTACCAAATAGCTTTACAGATACAGTAACGTTCATTATTCTCTGACTGCTACTTTGAAATCTAAGAACTATTTATTCTGCTGAAGTTGAGCACTTAAACGTGAGGAAGGACATAAGCACACTAGTAATGTAGGGAAGCTGGCTGTGACCTAGTTTCTCCATCTAAGAAGCCAAAAACTGCTTGAGACAAATGTGGATCAGCAGAGCAGGGCTTCTGATGAGGGAAACAATGTCTCTAAAGATGGTGTCGAGTTTAGCTTTCCCCAAAGCCTACTGCTGGCATACGCCCAGGGCCACGGTGGGTCACAGGGACGTAAGCTGGGTAATGGAATAACAATAAGGTTCCTCACTGCAAAGCTATCCAAAGCCTGTAGCATGACAGGTCTCAGTGGGAGAGTGTGCAACGCTTTCCTGGTCGAGGTGCAGCTTGTGGGGACTGTGTCCCTAAAACACCCCTTGGCAGAGGCTATAATTTATGGCTTCATCTAGATTGAACTCACCACCAATTAGTTCACATTTCTGATGTTATGCCAAGCAAACGAAACTTGTTGGCAAATTTATTTCACATAAAAAACAAAGCCATTTGTTTGGTTCCAGAGGACACAAAAATCCCATGCTGTCCTTGACCGAAGGCCCAAGAGGCAAGGCCGGTCTGTTTTTGTCCACCAGGGTTCCCCCAGAGCGGCTGTCAATAACATGTGCTGACCAAAACATACGTTTAAAATGTAGAAAGTTTAATTCAGTTCAACAAGTGCTACTCTATGCCAGCACAAAAAAACCAACACAAGTCTCTCTTTTCAAAAATTAGATAAGGAACCACTCTGATCACGCTTTTGTCTTTCTATAAAGATGTAGAATCCTAGTATTTTCCCCTCTTTATCACCATGAACCCGAATTGTCACTGAAATGACAAAGCTGATTTCTAGAGATTTGCAGATTATTAATGCCAGCCAAATCATCATTTACTAACAGCTTGCATGTGATCTTACTATTATCTCTCTCTTCGCTCTTGGTGTAAATTAAAAAATTCCTACAATTCTGTTTCCCCAATTCGGTGATACAATGCTGTTTTAAAAATTAAAAAATTCTCATCTATAATATTTAATATATCCATTGAAATGACACAATTACTAATTTGAAGGGCAGGAACCAATTTCAGTATGGTTGTGACCTAATTTCTCCATGCTGGAAAATGCTCTTCCTCTTCCAAGCACAGAATAAAAGAAAAGGAGTTTGGTGTTAACAGAAGAATGCTGATGAAAACCAAATTCCCCAACAGTGGAGACTGGCATGATGACAGAATGAGAGCTCTTACACAAAGCATTTTAATTCTATGTTTGCCTAAAGTAGGAGACAAATTTCATGGTCAAGTCCATCTCAACACAATGACTCTAAGTCACCATGTATAGCTTCCAGGATAGCATTTGGATATAAACGCATGGAACTATATTCTAGCAGAAACATTTTCATTTTAGTTATATTTTAAGCTCACACACACACACACACACACACACACACACACACACACACTAGAGGTCTGGTGCATGAATTCGTGCACAGGTGGAGTCCAGCTGGCTGCCTCTATCAGGTCCAATCAGGCTGGGCCAGTTGGCCCTCAATTGGGGTGATGAACTCCTTTACCTTTTTCTTCTGTGAAGCTCTTTATCTGGTCTTCCATTCTAAAGGAGCTTTGCTGGTAGAGAAGGGCATGGCAAGAAATATTCAAAGTGAAGAAGAGCAAGGACCTGCAGCAGGGTGACCTTCCTTTTGAAAGGATGTGCTGCTCCAGAGAGAGGGTTCCGTCTCAGTAAAACCCAGGTCAGTCTTTGCTTCGGGCAAATGGAATTGCTGAGGCCTATTTGAGAGTCCCCAAGGTTGGGAGCCTGATCTCAGCTCAGTTAAACACACGTTCGTGAAGGGATGTTATAGGTTCTGTCTCATCAAAAAGCCCTTGTGTGTCTGTGCTACACCCACGGGGTTGCTTTAACTGAAGCCTCCACCTGCAAGCCCACCTCCTCCAGGAGCTGGGGAAAGCTGAAAGTAGCCGCGTAGATGAGGCCAGTGCCAGGTGACCTGGCAAGTGCCAGCAGTTTGGCCACCTGAGCCCCGGGTGCAGGGAGACGGGCTCTGACTTCACCACCGCAGAGGTTTTGACGGCACTGGCAGTAGCTTCAGAGCTTACTGTTATTTTTATCTCCTTTTCCCTTTAAACCTCTCCAGGTTGTGTGTGTTAGAGAGAGGAGCAGCCTTTGCAGCCTCCTCAGCAGAGAACACACCTTCAAACTGGGTTCACATGCAGCTGGACAGAGTCCTGTTTAGAAACACGTGTGGGTTTTGCATTATGTGCAATTACTGATAGAGAGTTTTAGATTCTGGCAGGTAAATATGTTTCCTGCTTATCCACGAGGGCAGGGGGCCGAGTGCAGTTCTTCACTCACAGGCCTCCATCCCAGGGAGGCGATGCAGGTGCCCGGCACACGGGGAATGTGGGGGTGGCAGTGGTGGGAAGGGGCCAGGGATCAGGGTTGGGCAGCAAACTCAGAACATGGCCATCTATGCCTTCTGTCTCAGTCCTGATCTTCCTGCTCCAAGTCTGTAGGGTCTTCCTCTTGAGGCAGATTCAGGCCTCCGTGGGATATGATGTTTATCACATGCCGTTTCTCCGTGTGGGTGATCAGCATGGGGGTGTTTCTGCATCAGGCTTCTTTTGGCATTGTGGTGGTGGTGGAGGACAGCATAAAGTATAGTCCATCTAAGAAAACACAACCTGTGCAAACTCCTTGCTGAGCAACTTCTGTATACCTGGTGGTCATCTCCCCTCAGAAGGCGAGCCAACAGCTCAGTCGTGTGCTCCCTGTGTCCGAGACCAGCAGGTGTGCGTGTGTGGGGGTGGCGGTCAGGGGTGGGATGGCCAGGAGTGGGGCCATGGAAGGTTTGGGGGGGGAGCTGATCGGGGCAGTTCAGGCTGGTTGGCTGCTGCAGTGCACGTCATAGCCACCAGTTGTTCCTCAATAAAGGTCGCTGGGCTTTTATATATATAGATACATATGAAAGGCTAATATGCTAAGTGTCTGACCTCCAGGGAGCAGATGCTCAACAGGAACTGCCAAGGTGCAGTGATTTGGCAGCGGCGGCTCTCAGGTGATGCACCCTGAGCCAGAGAGGAGGGGGCTGATTCCTTGTGGGGCCATGGGATTCCACCTTTGGCCGTGGATTATGTCGTTGCTGGTTTACTGCACACTTGTGTTTGCATTCCATACCCTGTACGACAGCAACTTTGCAGAGTGCCCTCTCGCACTCCAGGGCCCCTCAGGGGCTGTCTGAGAGCCAGAGGGACCGCGCTCACTCCGCAAACACCAGGGAGGGACCGCCGGAGGTTGGCTCCAGGGCGTGTCCAGCCCATCTTGTTCAGTCCTGCCCCACCAGTGACCTTCTAATTAATTTCCTTTTAATGTGCATGAATCTGTGCACCGGATCACTAATATACATATATGTAGAAACACTCTGAGTACAGAGATGTGAAAATCAGTTCTTTGAAGAACGGAAAAATGTGACCTAAAAATGTAACAATGACATCTGTAGCTTTGGGTACTTTAAACCTTCAAGAATCTACAGTAAATAACATTTTCTTAGATGGACTATACTCAGACATCATCAAGAAAAAAATGCATTTCTTCTGACAACACCTCTCTGTGAAGGTCGACTGGCAGGGCTTGCAGGGACTGACAGTGTACAAAACCGGAGCAGGGCTATTATTAGCAGCCTCTCTGAAGAGCTCCTTCCAACCAAACCAGATCCTCCTATGCCCTCAACTGGTGACAGCAAAGTGACGACAACATGTCCTTGACAAAGCAGATTACAGCAGCAACAGCACAAGGACTGCTGCTGCCACCAAAACAAGCCACGTGTTACTTTAAGTAATGAAACAGGACTCCATTGCTTCCTTTCTACCTACTGGATAACAATAATGTCTTTTCCAAGGAAAAGACAAGTCCTACTTCCTAATTGAATCACTGGGATATTCCCCATAGAAAACTTGCAATCATCTCTTCAATAGATTCAGTGAATCTTGTTTTTTCTCTCAGTTATATTCTTCACCGATGTTGCACAGTTTTGAAAATTTTGAGAACTAAGTCTGAGGAGTGATGAGTGAAGGAGAAGCAGAGAAGGAATTGAATTATTTGGGGAAATGCTTTTACACCCAAGAGAGAAGTGCTTTCATCAGGGTGCCCTGTGCATTTCTTGGAACTGTAATATCACATGTTTCCCCGTGGACTGGGATTCATAAGGCAGGGCCACCTACATCAGGCTCAAAGCCACTGGAGTGAGATCCAGAAGTATCCAATGTCACCAGCTCAGACTCAGTGAGCAAAGTCTATTTTATTACTGCCTGAGATGAAACTAAAGTATTAATACATTAATCAATATGTTTTAATCATGCCATCATTTAGACATTGCTGCCATCCACTAAGCAAGCTTCACAGACATTCTAACATTAGCTGTATCTCCTTTGCGAGGCAATCTCCATCAGAAAGTGTCTCACCTACAGGCCCTATGTACAGAGAAGGTGTCAGAGACAGCAAGAGCATTGCACAGCACTGCTGCTTGAGTTCAAGTATTCTAAATTCCCCCCGACTATGCCAGAGTTAGGTTCTTTCTCGAATCCTATTCGCTACACTAACTGTTGGGAACTTAGTCCAAGTTCTATCTTTATCCTCTGATCACTAGTTACAGGTGTTGGGTCTGAGCACTTCCGTCTAGGGACTGGACCTTCTTGGACGCTGGGTCTTAGATGGAGAAGCCATGAGAAATTGTGGGTATATAAGGAGTTGTCGTTGCAGAAGTCAGTGGCCATAGCCTTCAGACAAAACAGTTCTTCAAGCAAGTCCATAAAACAGGCAGCCGTACAAATACTGGCTGGTGAATAGATACATCTTCCCACACATCAGCAGTAACAGCCTCTGTGTCTGCAGCAGCTTCTGAGCAACGCAAGCTGCCTCCAGACCTAGAGCTTTCCATAGCAATAGTACCTGACCTTCCTGTCTCAGCAGCTTCTCTCAGCCTCTCTGGTCTCTCCCCTCTCCAGCGCACCCCTCTGACCAACTCACTGGCTGGTTAACATGGCAGCTATATCTGAGCTCTCTATAGGCTCTTGGCCTTACTTTGTAGCAGAATCAGCTCTTAGCTCCATCTCTCCCTCTCCTCTCTCTAGCTCACGTAATATAACATGCATATTATTTCCAGAGACAAAGAGGGCTTCATGCCAATAGTTACACCAATCATATTTTGGCTACAGAAGAGCATGCATGTACAGTATACCATGGGATTATTGTGCGTGTGTCCTTGCACCTGCTTATGGTATCAGCCTAGGCTCTGAGTGGTCGTGGACATTCGGTGTATTGACAACAAGATGTCTGTGCTTTAATTGGCCTTGACTTACAGGTGGGCATACTCCAAATACTTTTAAAGATGGTCTTTACCTTAAAGAGCTTATAAAATTAAAAATAGCAGCTCATGTGAAAGATACTTTGTTGCCATTTCCAGAGTTCCAAAAAAAATGGGCAACAAGACACAAAACAGTCTGCTGCCTTTCCGATCATGGGCCCATCTAGTAAGAAATATGCGTTATTTGGGGTATCAAGTATTTAGGCTAGACTGTTAATGTTTCATAATTAAGCTAAAACACCTTAGAGTGGGTTATAAAGCCACAGATGGCCAAATAAAGATATTACCTCAGACACCTCCGATGGGCAAGCAATGCTGGTTCGGCTGCAGCTGTATCCCAGACAGGGACACGGATGAAGAATGAAGGCATGGCACTAACATTCAAGCATTAGGTGACCGATGATGCCACAGATGAGGCAGCAATTAACGCAGATGAAAGCAAACACACACATGGTGGACAAACACTCAGAGCTGAGGATGACCTGCCGAGAGGAGTTAGTAAGCTGAGTTCACTGCAGCTGTGTCGTTAAAACAAAAGGGCATTCTCAGAACAGCTCAGCGGTGACTTTTAAACCAACACCAGACCTGCTCCTCTCTCCACAGATCGGTTTCCTAATGCTCCCTGTGGGCTGCTGGGAGCCAGCAGAGTTCTTAGAGCTGACACAGTGGCAGCACAGCTGGTTTGGTCTCTCATGCGACTACACCGCGAGAGAGGGGCCGTGGATTCATTTCTAGTTGGCATTAATGAGGGCTTTCTTCATGTGGCATCAGCAGTATGTGGCCAGAAGGAGTGTGTGAGTCCCACGGCGATGTCCACACTGTGCCACCAAGAAGGGTCCCTGAACTCCAGAGGTTATCTGGCTTGAAACTGTGTAAATCTGGTCAGAAACACACTGAACTTTCTTTGAATACTATCAAACAAAATAACTTTAAAAACATGAATTCAAGCATATCAGCAATCATTTTAGTGATGACAGTTTTGTCAAGTGATTTGAAAATAGAGACAAAGACTCCAAATTTACTTATCATTGGTGTCCTGCTTTGCACAACTGTCCATGTGCACATGGGAGTATAAAATAAGCAGACTCTTCTAAATTCTCTCTCACTGTTCATTTTATTTAAACATGAGCAAAGGAGAGGAAAAGTAGGAGAGCAAACCAGCTCAAATGGTTAATTGTATTAGACAAGCATATGGACTGTTAAACATGAATGGCAATTACAGGGTACAGATTCTCCACTTACCAGATCTGTAGTCTGATTTTCTTTCCTCTTAGCTCTACAGTTTTTATTTTAAAGTCAACACCTGTAAATAAAACAAATTAAGATGAAAAAAAGATGCAATTTGTTAAAAAAAAAATCCCACTTATACATTTAATATATTATCAGAAAAACAAAAACAACATGAATATTAGCAACTGTCAAAAGGGAAGCATGCCAATATCTGTAAGCAACCAGTAATTCCACACTTCAACATACAACTGTAAGCCAACTGCTGCTATTTTATCCTAGTTATGCAGCATTTACTATTCATAATATAATTTAACAATTTTTAAATTTCTAATTACTATAATTTATTACTACCATAATTTAACATAAAAATCAGTTAAATTATATTTAATGATAACATCAATAAATGGATTTAAAAGAATGTTAACTGGGTGGAAATTCGTATATAGAACACTGGAAACAATCTTGATTTCAAACAGCCTTACTCTGAATTCAGAAATTATTGTATTTAATTCTTTTAGCATTTGCACAAAATTTAGTTAATACATAACCAGTACTTCTTTATTATATGGTCAATAGTGTGGAAGAGGAATTATTTTTTTAAATTTACATGTAAAACAATTTTTATTTATTTCAATATTAACAAGCAAATCATCATGTATCACTGTCCCTTTCCAATTCAGATGATTGTTAAACCAAAGTTTTATTTGTGTAGGTTGCCATCTCAGTTATAGAAAACTTAAATAGTTAAGACAGTATTTTTCACACAATTTTCAAAAACGAAAAAAAGTAAACCAAAGGAATGCTGGCTAAATTTGGCAACCAGAAACATATTCTTTCTCCACAGGGACAACTACTCGCCTGCTCTGTAGGATGCAGGGTGCTCATGCTGCCTGACCTCCAATAAGCAGGGGGGGACACAAACGACCCCTGAGTGCCATGTGGCCACAGAGAGCAGGGACCCCTCCCCGGCTCTCCACTTCAGGAACTGAAGCAGCACTTCAATGTCAGGTGATGTTCTTGAGGTGAAGGGAAAGGCACATGACTGGCTTTTATAATTAGTAACACCCCGTGGACACCAATGTAATACCAAAAAACATGTTTACAGCCCTGCGCAGAGGTGGGGCAGTAGCCCTCATCTGTACAATACAGAGAAACTGCATGGATATAAAATGTCACAAGAAAACAAAGCTATTTGTAATCTCTTACACCAGATATAATTTCAAATGTCACCAAGTGAAAGCTGGTCAATTCAATTTCACTTTCGGTTCTGGAATAAATTTGCTTTCCAGAGTCAAATGACACTGAAACCACCTTAAAACACGAAGCATGTTTGTGCATCAACAGTATCCTCAGAGTTCCTTAATGGCTCAACCCCAGGGGAAGAGTGTGGCTTAAAGTGATCTTCTTCAAGGCACAAAAAGCAGCCTGGAGGTATCTGCTATGTTCTGACTTTAAACAGACAAAACAGTCTTTCTTACATTAGCATCAAGCTGGGACCTCGCTATGTAACTCTGTGATGGCAATTTATAAATCAAATTCGTATTTTGTTACGACTACTATTGTTTTACTTTTATTTCCAGTTATTTTTATTTTTAAAGATTCAAGTAAGGGAACTAACTTTTATAATACATACCACAGTGGGTACTACTTTATCACACTTGTGAGCTCTACTTCAAATCAACTAAAAGAATCCTTTGAAACAAACAGCTAATGCAAATAATTTTGTTTCGATTAGGCTGTTTTCTCTGCTAAGAATTGCTCTGAGCCTGAACACTTTTTCAACCAACTTGAGTAATTTATCAACTTTAGCAGTCCTACATTGGGACTATTTTGTAAACACAAAGTTCAATACGTAAAGTAAAAGGAAAATGTACTAATATTCAAAATCAAGAAATAAGTGGTAAGGTTATGATAATTTAAACAAGAAAACAAAGTAGCCGAAACCAGTTTGGCTCAATGGATAGAGCGTCGGCTTTGGGACTGAAGGGTCCCGGGTTCGATTCCGGTCAAGGGCATGTACCTTGGTTGCGGGCATATCCCCAGTAGGGGGTGTGCAAGAGGCAGCTGATCAATGACTCTCTCTCATTGATGTTTCTAACTCTCTATCCCTCTCCCTTCCTCTCTGTACAAAATCAATAAAATATATTAAAAAAAAAGAAAAAGAAAACAAAGTAAAGATGACAGTGAACATGGTTCATTATCTGTTTAGCAAAATGAAAACTGTCTAGTTCAGTGGTTGGCAAACTCATTAGCCAAGAAAGCCAAATATCAACAGTACAACGATTGAAATTTGAGAGTCGAAAACCGACTTCTGCGCATGGGCCACAAAGTTTCAATCGCACTGTACGTGCACCCGTATGTGGTATTTTGTGGAAGAGCCACACTCAAGGGGCCAAAGAGCTGCATGTGGCTTGCCAACCACTGGTCTAGTTTTAGTGAATAGATTGACGACAAAGGAACTAACAACTTCAGAAAAATACCCAGGGCTAAACACAAAACTCCATAAAAGGAACAGCTGATTAAAAGGGTCTTCTCTCTTAGATGAAATATCCTTACATCTAACAGACACACACTAGGTGGCTTGCAAAGAATTGGGAACTCACTCCAATTTAAGGCTTAGAAACACATCCTTGTTCAAAGCCTACGAGTAAACATTCTTAGAAACCTTCTTACATTAAGTCAAAGTATTTCTTAATGCTGTCTATTTATAATATTTGCATGCTATAGAAATGGTAAAGATCCCTAATAAAAGGCAGCAAGTCACTGAAGCCTTAAATATTCATATTAGTTTGGAAGAACTTTCCTCTCACTAAGGAGGAATGCCTACAAACAATGCTTATAAACAAACAGGGACAAAAGGGGGAGCACTTTCATTTCCATCCACAGCACTTGCCCAAAACCCAGTTTTCTAAAGGTCTCCTGACTAACAGGAAGTGATCAGCCCTACTCCTCTATCAGTGGATGGGGACAGTCCCTGCCCTCAAAGAGCTTAGTCATACCGACCTAACCAACAAACACCCCAGGCACTTGGCAAAGAAACGCTTTCCGCTGCTGTTCCCTCTTAGACAGCCTCCTTGTCTGCCCAGAATGTAGGTGCCAGTGATTCCTGTCTGAACCTTATGGCGGTCCCACCCTCTCCCTCAGTTCCTCATGTGCTCTCAGTGGTTGGCCTGAACTCTTTTAGCCCTTCCCACCTTGCTCCTTCTTTGTTGGGGTCCTCTCTTAGGACACAGTCTTTGACTCCTGAAAGCCTAGGATAATGCCTGGAACTCAATAAATCTGATGAATGGACCCCCTCCCATAATCAAATGCTGGATATGTAAGGAGGAATGATGTTATTTGGGGAAAAGTTAGGGACATTCAGGACTTAGGATTTTAAAGCCCAAACAAACAAAAAGACTTTAGTAAAAAGAAAGGGCAACTGTCCTGTGTCTGGTGGGCAGAGCAGAGGGATTCCTACCATTCATATTATTGATGTAAATCCTTAGAGGATGGAGCAGTCTTAATATACTCATGTGCTCCCCCTACATACAGCCATCCCAGGAATTATGGTAACTATTTATTCAGTTGCTTAGATGGGAGTGGTCCACTAAGGGTATTATTCTGACAATAGGAGCTTACCTTTCTTTCTTGTTTTAAACCCTCACTTGAGGATATGCTTTTATTAATTTTAGAGTGAGAAAGAGAAGCATTGATGGGAGAGACACATCGACTGGTTGCCTCCCACACGCACCCTGACCAGGGCTGGAAAACATACTTGCAACCCAGGAACCTTGACCGGGAATTAAACCTTGACTGAGACCCTTTGGTCCACATGTCGGCGCTCTAACCATTGAGAAACTGGCTAGGGCTGTCTTCTTCTTCTTCTTCTTCTTTTTTTTTTTTTTTTTTTTTTTTTTATCTCAATGACCTTTAATAGCAACAATAGTGGGCATTTGTCAAACATGCTGTGCCTGACAACCAACACATGGAATCCTGCAGCAGCCCAACGAGAAATGCATTATCCTCATTTTGCAGAGGAAAACAGTAGAATGGAGAGAGGAAAAGGTGATTTGCATCAAGGTCATAGCACATGCTAGTTCAGTGGCAGATATTTGATTCAAAATTTGTAACATTGCCTACAAATGAAAGTCAAATGCTTAAAAAAAGTGTGAAATGTTCTGTAAATGACCCAGAATCACCACATCAAGCTGTTGAAGAACAGAGCTTAACTTTGCAATTTGCCTTTTTCTTTGTGTTTGTCTTTCATAAACCTTAGCAATAGCATAAATAATTTGTATACTTAGTGTTGATAAAATTTCTAAGTTCCTCTCCCTCAAGGCAAAACATTTCCAAAACATTAGTGTATTTCTTTTGCTGGGCCACAGAAGTTACAAAAGGGAAAATAAAATAATAAACAGAAGCTTCTTCCTGCACATTCCTTTCCAGTAAAAGCTTAAAAAAAAAAAGGCTGCAAAAATAACACCATGGTTCATGCCTATAATTACAGCTGAATGGATGTCCTCTCCTTTTTCTTCTCTGCCTGGTCCCACCACAAAGATTTGATTTTATCTTACTTAACACCTTCAGGAAGTTGAAGGGTTTCAGACTTTGAAATATGCCTCAGTTCAAATAGTGGTTGCGATTTTAATGACATTTTACAATATCTATCTTAAATCTGTATAGCTTTTCTTCCAAGGATATATACCTTATAAAGTGTTGCCCAATTTTCGATGTAATATTTCTACCAAGGGAGAGTATTTCTAGCATTTTCACCAAGAGTGAGAAAATAAATTCAGAAATGCATAAAGGTCACATAATGTAAATTTATCATTAAAAAACAAGTCGCACCTAAGCCTGTTTGGCTTAGTGGATAGAGCGTCTGCCTGTGGACTAAAGGGTCACAGGTTCGATCCGGATGGGAGGGAGGTTGGTCACTACCACCCATCCTCAGTTCCCCATCCCAGCCTGGAGCCTGGCCCCAATGGCGATGGGGGCCTGCCGGCCAAGGAAGAGACCTGGCTGCTGGTCCCTAGGAGGGAGCCAGTCCTTGGGCCCCCTGGGAAAGGGGCTCATCGCCGCCACCGTCCTAAG